CCCCCACGCCCACGCCCCCCCTAGCGGGCACAGCCTTTCCCGCCCAGCTGAGCGCTGCGATCTGAGCTGCCGCGGCCTGGCTCCTTCCATTGGATGCAGCCAGCTCCCTACTGAGGTTGAGTCTGAGGAAATCACAATGTAGAATAATAAACACGGGTTTCCTTTAACCCTTACCTGTTGAAGAACTGGGTTAGAGGCTGGAGTTCCACCTGGTCATTTTATTTTTATTTTTTATTTCTTTGTTAATGTATTTAGCACAGGGTCTCACTACACAGATTGGACTTGTAGCGATCCTTCCTGTTTTTCGGCCTGGCAAACACACCATCACGCCCAGTCTCAGTGGCACCGCGAGTGAGGCCGGGACGACTGGTCATTTTAAATACACAACGACACCTGTGATAATGGGCACTAAACAATCGAGCAGTGCCTGTCTCTGCTTATCTATAATTAACTCCAGTTTGGTTGGCCGTGCAGCCACCCCGAGGCTGCAGGACCCACTAACGAAATCCAGGAGTTATTTATTCTACTTCCAATAAAACTCTCCTCCTCTGGTTCAGGACTTCCTGAGTATTTGCGGAACCACAATCTCCGTGCACATGGTGACGCGAGCAGGGGTTGAAGCCCCAGCCTCTGAACCTACGTTTGTGAGGCAGGAGATTAGGGCGTGGCAAACCTGGCTGGGGAGGAGGCGTGGCCTGCCCGGCTCCAAATTCCTAAATACAAGGGCCACCGCTCTCCCAAGCGCTGCTTCTAGCAAGAACTGGAAGCTGGGGAGGTCTGTGTCAGCCTGAGGCGTGGGTGACGCTCCAAGGACCTGCCCACTTAGTCTTTGCCACCGTGGCCTCCTGCAGGTGGCCACTCTCACCCCCGTGGGCGAACTTCTCTTTCTGCTTGTCCCAAACTCAATCTGTGAAACCTGCTTTTTGCCTTTAATAAAACTTTGCTACCCTTTCTGCCACCTTCCGACTACATTTTGCCAAGGGCAGGGCAAATCTAAAAACCACCTCGAAAAGGACCCCAAACCCGGTTACATCCCTATTTTTTATTTTGAGCTAAGGTATCAGTAGGATACCCAGTCTTGGTCCAACTTGCAGTCCTCCTGCCTCAGCCGCTCAGATTGCTGGGACACTTTCAGCTTCCTCACAGTTCCTGATTAAGGAAGTTCCTGATTACTAGGCAGGTGGGCATAAGTTCCTGGTTATTAGGCAGGTGAGAATAAGTTCCTGATTACTAGGCAGGTGGGAATAAGTTCCTGATTACTAGGCAGGTGGGAATAAATGTGCTTTACATCTGATCTTAGCCAAAAGGCTGAGAAGCGATATAAATGTGCTTTAAAGAGACAGTTTAAATAATTCCCCTCAGTTCTCCACCAAAATGTCTTATTCTCAGGCCAGTGCACTTCCTTTGCACGCGGTCTTCATGGTTTGGTCTTTGCTACGCGATGGTTCCCCTCAGTTTCGTCCTACCTGTGCTGCTTCCCGTGTGGGTGTTTCACTCTCCAGTTCTCCTTTGCTTTGAAAACTGAAGCCATCCCACCTTCCCCCTTAAATTCCATCACCTGGATAACCTCAAGTGTCCCTGTTTTCACAGCACCCCCCTCTGTCACTCTCTCAGACAGGAGCTTTCTTTCCCCCAATAAACATTCTGCTGTTAACCTCCATTTGTTCCTAAAATTCTTTTTTTTTTTTTTTTTTTTTGGTATTTTTTAGGACAGGGTGTACAGGGTCTCACTGCATAGATGGGACTCGTGGTGAGCCTCCTATTTACAGCCTCCCAAGTGCTGGGATTACAGGCACACACCACCACGTCAAGTTTCAATCTGGGTCTCATCATGACCCGGGGATGGGGCTGGCATGGCAGGCCAGGGGCTCAAACCCTGGTCCCCGTGTCTGCCTACGCAGGTGCTTTAATCCACTGAGCTATTTGGCAGGCTCTTTAAAATTCATTCTTTGGTTTTCGAGAACACAAATTCTTCCCAGGTACCTTTCAGGTAGGGAGTTTCATTCCCCTCTATCTCCCTGAGGATAGAGTTAGAAGAGCGCAGAGGAAAGGGAAGGCACCATTTATTCTCCTTGGCAGGTGCAGGGGCAGGAGCTGAGACCCCGGGGAGCCTGTTCCACATGGGGCCCTTCACCTCCCTGAGAAGGCACGAGCCTGAGTGTTATGGTTTTTGTTTTTTTTTTTTTTTTCCTGAACGTTATCTTTGAGAAGCAAACATTCTAGGAAGTAGAGATACTGCCTCTTTCTGAAACGGATTTGTTTTCTAGCCAGAATAATAAAAGGATGTTTCCCTATGGGGAAGAGGTAGTTTGCTAGCAACTCCACCTTATAAAGATTTTTTTTTTTTAACATTTATTTAGTGTGTGTGTGTGTGTGTGTGTGGCCAGCTTAGCCCACCAGGGGGCGGGACTGACTGGCATGTGGTGCTGGAGGATCGAACCGCGGTCCCTGTGCTTTGCCAAGCTTGTTTCAAGTAGGTGCTTTAGACCACTGAGCCATCTCTCCAGCCCAACTCCACCTTATAAATGTGGAGCTTTCATGAGTGCTGGGATCATAGGCATGTTCCACCATGCCCGGTTCCATTGTTATTATTTTTGTTTTTTTGAGACAGGGTCTCGATATGTAGTCCAGGCTGGCCTCATGAGTGCTGGGAACACTGGTGTGCCCACCACAACTCCCATCTCACTGCTCACTGTGTCCTCATTTTATGTTATGTATTTGGTGCAGGTCTCACTACGCAGCTTAGGTGGACTCATAGTGATCCTCCTGTTCTCGGCCTCCCAGCACTGCGATTACAGGTGAGCACCTCTACTCTAGGGGTGGCCCTGGCACGACATGTGCTGCTGAGGATCCGGTCTGGGTCCCTGCCCTTGCCTAAGCAGATGCTTAGTCGGCTGAGCTATCTCCGCAGACCCGGCTGCCTTTATTTTAATTCCCATCAATGTAGCTGAAGCCCAACTCTAACTCAGTTCTCCCCCTAGCTAGCTGCTTCCACTCGTAAACTAAATAAACTACTATCTGCAATCCCTTGAGAGCTTTTATTTCCATTTGAGCAATAACTACAGTTGTGTCATTTTCCTTGCAACAGTTGGCTCCTTGTGGTCTTTAGAAGTAAGGGTAGCATGTCTGGGTTACCAAAATGACAGGAGAGCTGAGTGAATTACTAACTACAGGTGCATTCCGAGGGCCAGGCGTCACACGCTGAGAAGACAGCACCCCAGCTTCCAGCGACACCACCGTATTAATACCTGCCTGCCCACGATGACTGCAAGCGCCATTGTGGTTGTGTGGAGGAGGGTGTGTGCCCGCCCTGGATCTCGCCAGCCCCTAGCCAAGTCTATGGAGCAGAGATCACTTCCTTTTCAAAGGCCCTGCAGCTGAGAACCTTCCCTTTTCGGGGGCCCTGATGCCCAGGGCAAAGGGTGGCCTGACAGCAAATGCCATTGTGGGGATGCGACATTCTCTCCTTCTGGCTTTCACCTGAATAAGCTGTGCTTTCTTAAGGATGAGCTCATCTGTAATCACTGATGTTTTAAAAGGTTTTTCTAAAAAAATTATCAACTAGAAGCAGTTTCCTTTGGTGTGTGAAAGATCTGAAGAGCTCACACGTACTTCAATTTAACAAGTAATTTTTTTTAACAAGTGTCTCTTGAACATGC